CGAGGGGACCCTGCCTGGGGCTGGGCTTTCACTGCTGGTTTGGGGCTGTGAACTGCGAAGTGACTTCCCTCGGGATCGGGAGTGTGGAGGGGCCAAGGGTGCTGGGGAAGCCCCCGGGAAGCCCTTGTGGAGCAGGATGGCTCCTGGGGGTGTCCTTGGATGTCCGTGTCTTGGGGCCACCGGTGGGAAGGCAGACTGTGCCTTGCTGTGCGAAGGGCTGCTGGGTGGGGGAGATGTCCTCAGACCCATCCAAAAATCAAATCGCTTGTCCCCAGGGAGCTGTCACCTGCTCTTCTGCCGCTGAGACGGTCCCTGAAACTGCTGTCACCTTAACTCTGCCCTTCGCTGTCCCGTGGGGGGGGATTGGGGCAGGTCGTACAGGCGGGATTTGAGGGAGCCGCTCGATTTCCACTTCTTTGCCTCACTCACCCCTGCACAAAAGCCCACAGAGCTCCCCCAGGCAACACTCATCCCCTTAACTCTGCCCCGCGTCCAGATGACAGACGTGCAGCAGCCAAAACTCTCCTTCCTTCAGCCCCAAAGCAGGCATTTAAATCCTGGGACTTAGTTTTTGCCTGCAAAAGCTTCACAGGACAAAAGACTTTCTCCCACCCCCAAAAAACCCTTTGCAGCTGTGATTTAGCCCCAGATGAAGCAGCCCCCCCCCAGCAAACTCCGTGCGGCCCTTGCTGCAAGGACAGGAGGCTCGGGGCATGAATTTAGAAATTGCTAAATTTCTCGCCTCTGCCTGCAGCCCCCACTGTCCCGGGGACACTGCTTGGCCCTGAGCTGCTGGATGGAGAATGGGAACATCACCAAAAGCCCTGAGCTGGCTTGAGCTGCCCCTGCCCTCTCCGGAGCCGTGGAGCAGCATCTCCGCCTCGCCTCTCCCGACAGCTATGTCACGACTCTCTGAAATGTGTGGCTTGGCCCCGTGGCTGGCTCGGGCTTTTTCCGCTCAGCAGAACTCTTTGGGGACCTTGGCTGAGCGAGGGGAAAGGCAGAGCAAGGGGGAAACGTGGCTGAAGCACATCCACACCCAGCGCCTGTTTCCCTGGTCCTCAGCTGTGGGGTGGACAGCCTGGCAAAAAGAGCAAAAATCAAGGCAAAGCAGCAAAAAAAATGCAGCATCCTGCGCTGGCCGGACAGCATGAGCTGATAATTTGGGTTTTGGGTTTTTTTGCATGGTTGTTTTGTGCCCTGGCATGCTGGAAAGGTTTTTGTTTTTTTTTCTTTCCACAAAGCAAGCTGGAATTGGGTTCCCTCCCCCCCCAAAATAAAGCAGGAAAAGAAGAAAAACCACCTGCAGCGGATCTGAGGAAGTCAGAGTTAAATCTGCCGCTGCCGGAGGGTGACCTGCGGGTGCCGTTCGCTGCGGGTGGAAATTGCCGGGATGCCCGTGAGGAAGTTACAGGCATTATATTGCGATGGTGCCGACAGCCACGGCAGGACCGTTTGTGTCGGCTGAAGATCTGCCTCTCGACTTCAACGGAGAAAAGTCAATCACTCCGGCAAGGCAGCTCTGCAAACTGGGGACAAAGCTATTTGCTGGTGATCGCGGGCTCCTCGGCAGCAGAGGCACTGGATTAAGCTAATTTTTTCCCCATGACAAAGTAAGTCTGGAATAAAATAATACTATGGATGAGACCTGGAGACTTTTAAAACTCTTTCTGTCTGATGCCGCCTCCACTTTCCTAATGAATCTCTCCCGACGATGCTGATTCCCAGGGCTCCAACATTTAAGCAGACCCAGCGGGGATGAGGCTGTGCCCTCTTCTTCTCCCCGTCCCTTTAACCACAGCAGGGATTTGTGATTAACTTTCCAATTTCCCAATATTTTCAAACCCTGCCCATGCTGCCCAGCCTGATCGCCCTCCAGAAATTGTTATAATAATAAAAAAGACGTTTCTTTGCTTCGGAGGGAGGCTGGGGGGGAGTCTCTCAACACAATATCTTGAGCTGCTTTTCCCTATCCTGCCTTTTCTTTTTGCAGAGAAACATGGAACCTGATCTCTCAAGGAAAGCACTGAAATATTTAAAGTTTGTGCCAGTGAGGCCGGCCACTGGTTAATAAATGAAATCCAGGCACTCACCTGGTAGTCCTCGATGGTCGGGACGGGAAGGGGTTGCTGCGGTCTCACTCCGAGGAGAGAGGCATCGGGCACGTTCCCCTGAACTTCTGCACCCTCGCTTTTCTTTTATTGATATTAAGAGGGCTGTGATAGTTTTTCTCTCTATGGAAACGCTTTTCCCCTCCCTCGTGTATATATAAAAATGAGTGATCACGGGGTTTAAGTCGTAACTCCAGACGTGGAGCCTTCATTTGGGCATGATTTCATTAAAATGAAATCAGAGGGAGCTGACAACGTCACGGGGCTGTGGTGCCTCTCCCCATTCAGAAGGAAAACAAAGGGGGGGGGAAGAAAAAAGACGTCTGGGCCTGACAGCCCGGTGGGAGTCACCTGAAAACGGGGCTGTTGCCAGCACCGGGACTTTGCAGGGTGATGCAGACACGCTTTTCTCCCGCTGGTAGCCAGGCACCTGGTGCAAGGCGATTTTAAATGCAAAGGTTCTTGTGCTCCCTAAGGATGCCTGCTGGCGTTTTCACCCCAAAGCCACTGAGGTCCAGCTGAACTAATTCAGATTGTACCAAGAAAGCAGCCAGGCAGGAAACCTGCCCAGTCTGGGGTCCCGGGACCGCTCTGGTCCTGGTGTGATGAGAGAGAGGTCTCCTGCGATGTCCCACGGTGCTGGTTTGTAAGCGCACGTGCTTTGTGCTCTAAAGAGGATGGGGATGGAGATGTCCCTGCTGGAAACAGGGGTTGCTCCATGTGGTCCGGGGCTGAGACACCGGAAGGAGTCAGGTCACTGGTGGAGGGTCTCCCCAATGGCCACTGCAGATTTGTGGCTGGGCTGGGGGCTCCTGGTGGTCCCAGGGCCCTGCTCGGCCTGGACTGCTTATCAGAGCTCCTCTCAAACCTGCTTTGAAATGCCATCACCACCTTCTTCTAGCAAAGGGCTGGTGGAGTGCAGTTATCCCTGGCAAGCGATAAATCCTACCAAAAGTGTGGAAAATCCTCTGAGCAGCCCCGTGAAGGGTGACAGTAGCCAGTAGTGACCCTGGATGGGCTCTGAGTTGATCACTGTTGATCACACACTCTCTCATCACTCTCTGTTGATCACACACCAGCGTTGGCCACAGCTGCTCCTTTGGAGAAAAGGAGCCAAGACTGTGGATATTCTTGGATGAGCATCTTTGAGCTTCTCATCCAGCCTCTGAAGATGCTGGCCATTGTCTGAGAGGCAGCGGCCGGTAACAATGAGGCTCTACTTTGGCTTCAGGCCTGTGTTTTCCCCTTAATCACCTCCAGCTGTTGGCTGAGAGACGTCAGGATCCACTGCTCCAGCACTTCACTCCTCTTTCATTTTCATTTGAAGCTTTCATCTCCTGGACTGACATCTTCCTTTCCCCTCCTTCACTGAGACCTGGAAGACGGTTTGGTTATCCAAATCTTTAGAGCCTTTGGGTCGTATTTTTGGGCAAGCAAACCTGCTTGAAAGACGTCAACGCAAAGAGCTGGGTGGGAAACTCCATTACAGGGACTCATTCCCAGAAAGAGCGAGGGAAATCACCATCTGGCCCGCAGTCCTGGCTCCTCTCCCTCTGGCAAACGCTTGCGGGCTCATCTATCGCAGAGGGACAAGCTTTCTCTAAGGGCTGCATGGTCGCTAGAGCTGATGAAACCCTGCAGCTCCTGCTCTGCGGTGAGGGAGCAGTGATAGATGAGAGCTATTTCTAACCCATCCCCTGCGGTGGAGGTCCATTAAAAATGATTTCCCCTCGTGCTCGTTGTGGCTATGCAAGTGCTGATTC